TGTGTATATATATATATATGTGTGCACATACAGTTACATACATGTACACACTGTGTACAAGCGCCGTGGTTATCTCATATCGATCAGCGAGAACACATGCATCACACGAGTGTGGACGCTGTTTCAGAAATTGACACATCATGTGGCGAGAATACGCATCAGTGTATTCTAAGCCCACAGGTAGAATCGGTACAGTATTGGGCTTTTTGAGCGTGTACTCTAGCTTAGATTGTCTGCAGGCCCATCTGTCAAAACAGTACGGGCGATATGTACATACACATCTACACCTGTGGACGTGTTGATGGGTATATACGTTACATTGACCAACGAATATGGCAAACTAATGCACAGACCATACAATTCATATACGTGTGCGCTATCCGAGTCAAGCCTTGCCTTGGCGCTGGTGCAGATTATGACTACTCACACTATCTGCTATCTCTATGTAGTATTGTACAGTCTCAAAAGATCAGATGAAACAGCTCATCTCCACTCCGGCCCTGGATCAATGAACCTTTTCCTTTAGAGCGACGACGGCAATGATCATAATTACCCATCATGGGAGACGCGGACATCATTCTTCTCAAAAACGAGCCATGTCACACCAAATCATGTGCACAGCAAGACCCGTAATTAGTTCCCAGCCCCCAAGTAATTAAGGCAGCCAAAGCACCAATATCACCGCCTTGATTGACATCGCCCCAAGCGACCACTTTTCCGCCCTCTTCGAGAACCGCCGCAAAGGCATACCTTCCCGCGAGTCCCAAAGATTGCGCTAGGATGATGTGCCTCACAACGAGCCAATATTTCGGAATGCGGACTTCGTAATATTACACTGATTACATTGAGCTTGGCTCGCTTGGAGCGATAACTAGTCTGCACACTACAGTCCAGGTTCTTGTTCGTCGTCCGCTCCTGGCTCAGCGACTGCTAATTGGGTGCTCTGTATGATCTGTTGCCGAAGATCATGGACTCGATGCTGTTTCAACTAGCCTGCCGGCGCAAACCTCGTTGAAGAAAATAGCCACGCTAGGACAGCGCGCCTGCCCCAAACATAGCTTCCTATTCCCAAGCCTCCTAGAGCCTCGTCAAAGTCTTCAGATTTTTTCCCCGACAGAAGTTGGAATTGAGTTGATGACCATGGGAGAATCACTACGGTAGAATCAGAAGCAACGCACTGCACCTGCCTTGCTGATGCCAGGAGCCGCACTCCTCAGGGGCTGCAGGCGCGAAGTTGGGGATTTTGGAGGATAGGGCTTAAAACCTGCCAAACAACAATGAGCGACCGAGGCTACACACCAGCAGGCTTTGCCAGCAGCCGAGGTTTGCAGGGATGGCAGGGGATGGCAACTAAAACAGGTATCTGGGAATGTATCTGCCCCTTCTTAGTGTGATGACTCGGGCTTTCGTTGCACCACCTCTGCTACTGCAGATGCTACAATGAAATCTGCCGGAGCGAGGCTGTTGGAAGTGCTCTGCTCGAACACGCCAACTATCAACACTCCACCATGTTCCGAAAGAACTTGAGGCGATGAGGGACAAACCAAAGCTCCAAGTGCCCGAAAGGATCGAATCCCGATCAATTCGCACAGTAGCAGCCCCAAGTGGCCCTGCCGTAGGAAACACAGAGTGGTCACACGAACCGCAAGGTGGTAGAGTGCGCTTGCACTCCCAGACTTTTCGTATTTGAGTATTTTTATACTAATATGACTATGAACCATATGCTTATGAGCTTATGTCCGCAGTTGCTGTGTCTCCTTTCAAGTCTTCGTAACCCAGGACTCCAACTGCCTCGGAGGTGGTCTATGCAGGCGTTGCGACTGCAGGACCACATGACGACCTCACGTGGCTTGCGGGTTGCCGCTGGAACTCTGCTGAAGGCAAGTCTGGACGGAGGGAGGTGGTAGTTCGGAGCACACGAGTTGACAGACTAGAAATCAGGTGTGTTTGACTTTATTTTGCCTTTACCCTAGCCACGTAGGAATGTCGGCACCTCCTTGCCGGCAGTTAGCAATGGGTTGACTGGACACAGATTTGTACCCATCTTGCTCATCGTGGACCCTAAACCCTAAACCCTAAAAACCCTAAACCCTAAACCCAAAACCGTGGCCTTCGGCATGCTCGGGTAACCAAGGTCGTGCAAAGCCAGCGTCAACACCGACTGGCCTGCCCCTATTGCCTAATTCCCCGTCTTCCGCTTAAACCCGCCATCTCTCCAAGATCCCTCTAACACTGTGAACCAGACTCCTCGAGAAGTCCATACCCCAAAAAGCCAACCAGGAACTCGCAAGAGATGTGTCAAAACCTGTCAGTGCACACATCCTCAAAAATCTGCTGAGCTTCTCAATGCAACCCTGCTGTGGCCCCGCTCACCTCTGAACTCCAGCCCCCCCAACTCACTTGTTTGCACCGTGCACATGCCGGGGGCAGCGGCCCGACCGTCAGAACGCAGTGCCGCAAAGGTATCATACCTGCTTGGCTGCTTGGGGAACATGCGTGTTTAGAGCACCTTGAACGCATCGTTTGATTGGCTGACCTTTCTGAAGGTGGTAGAGCAGCTGGGAAGACCAGAATCGGAATCAAGTACGATGGCCTAGCATCTTATTCGTGTAGTTGCTTGGGACCTCGAGCTACAATTCGCCTCGGCCCCGGCCGAAGCAGTCAGAGGTTCCACAACAATCCCTTTGGTTTCCCTTTCCAGTCACCCACGCCCCCCACCCTGGCCACCTGACCCCCCCCCCCCGCCCCGCCCGCGTCCTTCCTTTTGAACCGGTTCACAGGCCCCAAGGTCAGGTCTTGAAGTTTCGTGTCCCGCAATGGATTTTGGCTGTTCGCAGGCAGCCCTCCCTGGCCCCAGTTCCTCGCCCTCCCCCCCGTTATCTCCCCCCTCAAGCTCTGCTTCATCGGCCCTCTATATTTAAGGCCGTGCCGAGACGCGAAGCGTTTACAATTAACGAGACAGTAGCCCCTTCCAGGTGCACCGGTGCAAGCACTTCGAACCTAGGGGGGGTGTCTCAAGGGAAACGCAGCAGGGCAAGCATCATCAGCATGGAAACAACCATTCACTGCTTCTGTCTGTCCGACACGCCATGTGCTAGATACTATATGGGCCTGTTGTCAGCAGCGCCGGATTATAGTGCAGGTCACGCATACAGCCCGTGCGCTCATGTCTGAACACGGCCAGGGACGCTGCTCGGATGTCACGCACATCGTGTAGCTCAGCCTGCCTCGGATACAATGTCTTGCAACTTGATTCTCTCGTTCTGAGGGACGAGGCCGCTCACATCATTGCAGCAGGCGCTCAGCCTTACATGCTTTACCAGCAGGGCGCATTCCGAGTTCCAGTTGCTGCAAAAGGATCCGGGCATGCAGCGATCCTCATATATAACAAAGCTCATAACATCCGCCGGGGTCCTACGTCCCTCACGACAAGACAATCTCCTCCGTCCGCATTGGCCGAAGTTACACCGCGCTGCTGTCAGCACCATATCCTCAAAATATGCAAGCGCGGTAATTCGCTTGGAGCCGGTTGGAGATGGTTGAGATGTGTTGGAGTTGGCAGGTGGAGGTGATGTTGGTGGTTGGGATGAACTGCTGACACTCAGCACAGAGAGTTATTCAAGCTGTTGCATTTGTTATTGTTGTTGTTATTGATGATGTTCGTGGTCTTGTTATTGCTATTCTGCTCCTTCTTCGTATATGGAGTAGAGGTGGCAGTAGTAGTCGTCGTCGTAGTAGTAGTCGTCGTCGTCGTAGTAGTAGTGGTAGTGGTAGTAGTAGTAGTAGTAGTAGGAGGATAGCAGGAGTAGTAGTACTAGTAATAATAATAGTAATAATAATAATACTGGTAGGAGTAGGAGTAGGGGTGGTAGTAGTAGTAGTAGTAGTAGCAGCAGTAGTAGTAGTGGTAATCGTAGCAGCAGGAGTAGTAGCATAGTAGCAGCAATGGTGGTAGCAGTTGTAGGAGGAGGAGGGAGAGGAAGAGGAGGAGTTAGTAATAGTAGCAGTACTGGGGTCTCGCTTCAATGCAGTTGACCGACAGCACAGGTTACAAGGGTGTGGAGTCTTGCGGTTGAGGGCTTTAAGATAAGAAACTGATTTTTGCATGAATCCAGGTCTGTCATTCTCGAGATGCTCCCATGTCAGGTCAATAATCCTCAAGACTGACTGACATCGCACCGTCGGCAACCACTATTTTCGGAGCTTTTTCAACAGACTACGCCCTTGTTTGATGGGCCCATGGAAACGAAACCAGAACGGCAGGAATCCTTATATAAGGTTGATAAAGTTGATAAAGCCGTTATGGAACCCCTGTAACCTAGAATGCAAACAGGAAGCCCATATAGAACCTAGCCCCTATACACCGATTATAGACCACGCCCTGTACAACCCCGAAAGAAAGCCTCATAGACCCCGTACAAAGCCCGTATGGAACCCCTATGAACCCCTTATACAACCCATAAGTTATAAACCCCTTAAAGACAAGACCGGAAGCTATAGAAGCTAAACAGAACCCACAAAGGAAGCAGTGGGATTATCTCGTCGTGGCCGACTTGGACAATACGGTGAAGTGGGACGACCAGACCTTCGGCGTGGTCTTGAATGCTCTGGACAAAGAGGAGCCACAAGAGGGGTTTTGAGGTGAATTGTTCGGGGTTTAGGGTGTGTTTAGGTTTTGGTGTTTAGGGTTTCGGGGTCTAGGCTTTAGGAATAGAAATGGCCCTAAGCCCTAGCCCAAACCCTCCAGGCTGAAGCCCGGAACCAAAGGGTGCGCATGTAGGGCCTACTGGATCCAACTCCCAGCAAGGTAGACGAGCCCTAAACCCTATAAGCCCTAAACCCTAAACCTAAACCGTGCTTCGGCGACTCTTCGAACTCCCTTGCAACCTTTAAGTCCCACACCCCCAGGTCCACCAGCCTCAAGAAGGAGGCACCGTAGAGGTAGTCTAAACACCTTAGCAGCGCCCTGGGTCCCCTGAGCCCTAAACTCCAAAGCACTTACACACTTAAGCCATAGCCCTGAAAGCCCAAAACCCTAAACCCCAAACACTAGAATCCTAACCCTGAAAGCCCCCAAAAAAAGCCCACAATCTAAGCTTCTGGATAGTCCTTCATATCTTCATCCTCCCCCCGGCGATCCTGAGTCCCTGTGCCCTTTTACACGTAGCCCCTCTGAGTTCAAGCCCAAGGCCTTCCGAGCTTTGAGGGCTGACGGTTGAGGGCATAGGGGTTTAGGGGTTTAGGGGTTTAGGGGTTTAGGGTTTAGGGGTTTAGGGTTTATGGGTTGAGGGTTTAGGGGTTTAGGGTTTAGGGGTTTGGGGGTTTAGGGGTTAGGTGTTTAGGGGTTTATGGGTTAGGTGTTTAGGGGTTTAGGGTTTAGGGGTTTAGGGGTTAAGGGTTTAGAGGTTTAGAGGTTTAGCGGTTAGGGTTTAGGGTTTAGGGTCTGAGGTTACGGGAATTTACATGTTGAGAGCCCTCAACCCCGAGCCCGAGGTTTGGGCGGTAGAGAGGGTGGAGGAAGTTATGAAACAGAGCCTTAAGCCGTAAACTCCCTAAACCCTAAACCAGGAACTCCAGCCCTAAATCCTGAACCTTCATCCTTGAAGCGTAGGTCTTTCGGTGCGCTGGGGCCTTAATCCTGAGCAGGATCAATGGGACGCCGTGGCTTTCTCCAGCACCTGAGCAGGGACTTGGGGGGTGGCCAGGGTTTAGGATTTAGGGGTTTAGGGGTTTAGGGTTTGGGAGTGTGGCTTTGGAGTTCTAGTTAGGGTGTTAAGTGAAAGAGGGCGCCCAAACGTCTAAGGCGTAAGCCCAGCAAGCTCAGGCACCAACTACTACGACTGGTGGGCAGCTCGCTGTGAGCCCCGGCCATGGGTTGTAGGGTTTAGGGGCGTTTAGGAGGCTTTCGCAAAGAAGAGGTCAGAGAATGCGAGCATGGGTTGGTGGTGAATTGTCGAACCCATGAAACAAAGGTTTTTTTCTGTGAAAAACTGCAACACCCATGGAAGATAAGGCTGCTTAAGGTTGTTGAAATGGTGCTTCGGCGATTCCGCTGAAGTCCACAGAAATGACCCGTGTCCCCCCCCCCCCCAGTGCTTGCAGTACCGGCGTCTTTAGCTTTTGCTGTCCACCAGCATCGGAAATGGCAAACTCGACAGCTGGTCTGAACGCGTCGACCTCAAGAAGCAGCTGCGCCCAACGACAACGCCACTGCATTATAAGCTGACGACAAGCATGTCAAGCTGGTCTGTTTCGGAAAGCCTAAGCCCTACGCGAATCAAGAAGGTACAACTTCATCAGGCCCTCCGGCTAGAAGCTTCCCACTTCTATAGTCAATGCGTTAAAGCCTCATTCCAACTCTTTCGGCGGTTTTGAAACATAGCCAGACCCCAAACCCTGAGCCCTGAATCCGGGACCGTTGAGAACTCTCTAAGCCCTTTCCCTGCGCCTCTTTTGAGGACAGCCGCTCGAAGAACTGCCTTTCTCACAAAGTCTGCCTCGACCGTAGGGAGTTCCCGTGCATTATGGAGACGCTGCAGGACTGGAGCTTCAGGCTTAGCGAGGGTTGTCGGGAATTCAGGAACTCGGTTTTGCGACGATGTCTTCAAGCACGTTATTCTGACGATGATCCTCAAGATGAGCTTTGGCCGCTTGCCGCCACTGATGTGATTATGTCACGTCTCTGATGTGTGTCGTGGAACGGAGTCTTAAATTCATGTTGACCCTGATGTTAACCGCTCCCCGTACCTAAACCCTAAACCCTAAAACCGTTGTAGACTTGATGCTAACAGGGGTGTCCAAGGAGCTCCTGGCACGTAGGCTTCAATGTCTTCGCCGTGCAATCCTTCACCAAAGCATCGATGTCAGCCGACCCATCGAACCCTTGGGGGCCTTGAGCATCTTCGTTTTGGGGTTTAGGGTTTAGGGGTCTAGGGGTCTAGGGGTTTAGGGTTTGGGGTTTGGGGTTTTCGGTTCAGGATTTGGATATTTTTAGGTCTTACAGCCAGGCCCATGCAGCTCAAAGCCCCCAAAGTGCAATTACTTACCACGGGGTAAACCCTAAACCTTCGTTAAAGCTTAGGGTTTAGGGTTTAGGGATTTAGCAACAGCAACCCTTCTGTGGAGCAATCCTGTGGCTTTCTCTCGCGGAACATGATGCAATGCGAGTTGGATTTAGTGGCGAGTTTTACAGTAGCGTTATACAATGAAGCCAGTCTTGTTGCAGGCATCTCAGAATTGAAACTCCTGAATTTCAAGCTTTTCGAAATTTCACCAGAAAGCCTGAATCCCTGGTCTGATCCTCAAGGCACCTATAGAAACTCCATCCTACAGGACAGCGACACGAGCCACTTCCGCCCAGTCCGATCTGCTTTCAATGGCCTGGCAGTCTACAAAAGAGACGCCATAGGAGCCGATCGTTCAGGGGTTTTAGGGTTTGTAGGGTTTAGGGCTTCAAGGTTTAAGGGACTCT